ATGTATATAATATATATGTGTATATACATATATATGAATGTGTGTGCGTAATGTGCTTTCCAAAAGGGGTTTCTCTGAGCTATGCGTTGCAAACATCTCGGCTGCAATACTTTCAAGGAATTTACATACATATAAATGAGCTACGGATCAGAGTAATTGCCATACTACCATACCACTATAAGATAATGTAGATCGAAATTTTTGTATCGCTAGTCAAATTTCAAGTAAATCAATCAGTGAATCACTGAATCAATCAAGAAAGGTAAATAGCATTGTAACACAATATATTATACATGTTTTGAAAGACTTAAACAGCAACAACCTCTGTGGTAGATAAATCGTTTTGATTCCCCCTTCCATTAACTACATACTTTCTTCCCAGATGTCCCCTTAAAGTACTAATCAAGAATACAAAATACAACAACAATATCAACAACAACAACAAATTAAACAAATATGTGATCTCCTCAACACCTTCCTGTGTGCTCAAATGTTTCTATTATTAATAATTGTTTTCAATTGCTTTCGTCTGTGGTCGCCCCTGCACCCTTCTACTTCACACACATCCTACTATTTCTATACTGTTTGGATTGTAAAGTTATCATCAAAGGATTACCAGTAATTTATAAATTTCATTATATTATATATACTGGCAGGCAAAACAGCATTTGAAATGTTATAGCAAAGTATACTGTGAATCAATACTTTTCATTATAGAGCAAAACAGAACAATGCCCAATTACGTCTTTCCTTATAGAGTAGATGTAAACAGTGTAACAGTATAACAGATTTTGCTATAAAAACATATTCACTGTTCAAAAACATATGTATCATCATGTGTAAATCAACAGTATAACAGATTTTGCTATAAAAACATATTCACTGTTCAAAAACATATGTATCATCATGTGTAAATCAACAGTATAACAGATTTTGCTATAAAAACATATTCACTGTTCAAAAACATATGTATCATCATGTGTAAATCAACAGTATAACAGATTTTGCTATAAAAACATATTCACTGTTCAAAAACATATGTATCATCATGTGTAAATCAACAGTATAACAGATTTTGCTATAAAAACATATTCACTGTTCAAAAACATATGTATCATCATGTGTAAATCAACAGTATAACAGATTTTGCTATAAAAACATATTCACTGTTCAAAAACATATGTATCATCATGTGTAAATCAACAGTATAACAGATTTTGCTATAAAAACATATTCACTGTTCAAAAACATATGTATCATCATGTGTAAATCAACAGTATAACAGATTTTGCTATAAAAACATATTCACTGTTCAAAAACATATGTATCATCATGTGTAAATCAACAGTATAACAGATTTTGCTATAAAAACATATTCACTGTTCAAAAACATATGTATCATCATGTGTAAATCAACAGTATAACAGATTTTGCTATAAAAACATATTCACTGTTCAAAAACATATGTATCATCATGTGTAAATCAACAGTATAACAGATTTTGCTATAAAAACATATTCACTGTTCAAAAACATATGTATCATCATGTGTAAATCAACAGTATAACAGATTTTGCTATAAAAACATATTCACTGTTCAAAAACATATGTATCATCATGTGTAAATCAACAGTATAACAGATTTTGCTATAAAAACATATTCACTGTTCAAAAACATATGTATCATCATGTGTAAATCAACAGTATAACAGATTTTGCTATAAATACATTTTAGAATAGAGCAATAGATAATGCTATATACATATATGTATATATATAATTCATACATATGTATAAATCAGTTCAAAGTCAGCTTGATGTAACAGTATAACAATATTACAGGCTTTACTAAATATATAGAAGATAGCTCCAAACCGAGCATAACAGTTTGGCAGTATAACTGAATTCGCTATAAATACAATAGAAGAATATGGATGTGGAAAACATCATCTCATATGGCGAACAGTTCTAATACGACAGAGTGTCCCTTATCTATGCAACAGACAGACAGTAAAAACATTTTGTTTACGAATAAATTGTTTTGGACATTATTGTTATTATTTGATAGCAGTTGGTTCCGAAATGATGAGATAATTTGCAATTGCAACATTTTTCCGCTTTTTAACAATTAGCGAAAAATTCCACATTCTTTTCAAACTAACTACAATCTGTTTTCTACATCGATTTCTTATTTGTGTTGATTGATTATGTTTTTCGCATTTCTTTCTGTTTATCTTTTCATTGGTATTCCTTTTGTAAAAAGCTCAAAAAGTTTAAATATGATACTTAATCAATTTGTGTGCATGCGCATATATGTGAAGGCCCCGTTAACTTTCTACTGGCTAACAAACCCAAATTGTAAATTTAATTTTTGTGCTCAATTCATCGAAAACGCATCAACAACTCTGACAACAACAAAATTACAGCATTTTCAGTTCAGTTCACATCTAAGAAAAAGACAACAAAAGAACACAAATTAATTGAATTAAATAACTTTTTCCCTGGAATACAGCCGCCGAGTTCTCCAGATTCACGAACATAATATTACATGCAAAAAGGACGAAAATCAAATATATATAAAACAACTTTTGGAAAGATATTGCTTCGGAATCCCGAAGGCTTGAAACAAATATGCAAACATGTTTATAGAATGTTAATTTGCAAGAAGAATTTCTTTATTGTTTGTTAAGAAAAGCTAGTTGAAAATTGAAAACAGAACAACAACAAAAAATAAAAAAAAAATAATAATAATAATATTTTTGTATTAATGTTGTAGTTGAAAAATGAACTATGTCTATATACAAAATCTAGTATCAACATAAATGTACCTTTGTTAATGTATACACAAATCATTCTTTTAAGCGTGCAGTCAATATACCAAATTAATCAAATCAATCCAATTGAACAAATCGAATTCTAAAGCTCAAGCTCTTCAAAATGTTCTCACTCATCGATTGTTGTCTTTGAAGTTTTAACCATCTAACATGTTTACCCATCCATCATCGATTTCTCTCTTTCTCATTACGTACATATATGTA